TAGTACCTACTCAAGGTAAAGTATAGTGAGAAGACTCACCTCGTGTATCTCGATAACTCGCAAATCCCGGAAATCACTCGTGCTCGACCCCGCTATAATCTTCCTATAATACAATATATCTCTAATTAACACTTGTACAACTAAGGTTGACTAACCCTATCAAGTCAACACTGGTCAACTCTAGTCAATGGTCAACTTTGACCGCACTCGGCGAGTGCACCAAAGCAAATCGACGAGTTTATACACGTTCAATGACTCCCTCGGATCCTCTCTTGGCACGTCGAGTACTTCCCTAACTCGATGAGTTCCACCTGGCATGAATCGCGGGCAACCACGACTCAACTCCGAGTCTCAAGAACAACTCGGCGAGTTCCGGCTTGACTCAACCCCATATTGACTCTCCTTGACTCACTGGGTCATCCCCCAACCCGGCGAGTCCACTCGCTGAACACTTTACGTGAAACCCCAACCCTACTCGCCGAGTCCCAAGAACAACTCGGCGAGTTCATGCCATGCACAAACTTTATTGACCTTCTGAGGTCAGATCTGCTTTCCCAAACCATAGATCTGGCCTTCCCAAGCATGAATGTCACGTAAAGTTCGAAACTTGATGCTTGTATAACCCCCACAAGGCATCAAAAGGAGATTTGGTCCCAAAAATAACCACCTAGGTCCAATGACTCCATAATAACCCAAAAAGCTCCAATGGTTAAGGTCTCTGGACCTCTTTGAGTCCAGATCCAAGGCACAAACTCGAAGAGGGACCATTTGCTTCAAATAATCACTCTCCAAAGGGGGTTGTAAAACACTAACTCTAAAGATCAACCCTATAACTAAAGGAGATTCGAACCATTGCCTCAAAATGAAGCCTCTGGACTCTGGATGCTAGAATCTCACCTCCTCCTTGCTCTTGCCACCTTCCTCTTGCTAAACAAAGAATACAAAGCCAAAAAGTGACTTCCTCTCTCCCAAAACGAATTAGGTCTCTTAGGGTTCTCTCAAGGGACTAGTAGCCGCAATAGGAGGCTATAAGTTCCCTTAAATTGTGACATCCCGAAATTTAGGGCCTAGATTTCAAATGACTAAATTACGGCAAATCTATTTGTAATTAATTTATTCAGCTTTAACTGCATCTAATGAAATATAAATGAGTTAATTTCAATTATTATATAATATTTGATGATATTTTTATGCCCAAACGTGTAAACTGGTAACCAAATCAAACCGCTCAACTGCAGCGCTGACTAATGCGTCTGAAAACTGAAGTTTAACATTAATCATTTTTGAGCAAAATAAACACAAAAATATGATAGTACATGTTCCCCTATTTCCAAAAATATAAAAAACGTCCAAAACAGAGTTCGTATGCAAAAGATACAACCGCTTTAAGAAAAATGGACAGTAAAACACTGTTATTCGTTAATCGCGTAAACAAAAATGTTCCGTTGAGGCACTTACGCTTTGCCGATGGGAATTATGAGAGCATTTTTGGAATCAGGATATAGTATATTATTTAATTCCACACTCGAAATAATTTTTACAAAAATATTTACACAAGTCGCGAAAACGGACACCACGAGCCGTTAAGACGCAAAACTTAAAACGCAATTTTCCGGAGATCCGTAACTCCAAAAATTAATCCGTTTGATGTTCTGAAATCCTTGAATTATACTCTATTTAACGGTGTTTTCAAAAAAAATCCCCAATGCACGAATCCCGAGGCACCTGGTTTTGGTGTGTTTTGGGCATGTAATGGAGCATAACCCCATGTGGGGCCCACATGGGATGATAAACTGCAAAAACCTGATCTTCTTCCAACTAGTATCAAACCCACGTGCCTTTCCTCTCCTTCACTCTTCATCTTAGTGTCCAAGGCTTGCTAAAAGTACAATTGATGGGGCATAGGTATGGCTTCCATTGGTTTGTGAGTGAGTATGTTACACTATAAAAAGGGACTTGAGGAACCCTCAAACTCACTCACAAATCTCCAGCAACTTCCTCTTCTTCTAAATCCTCTGAAAACTCCTCTCTAAATCCTTCATCCTACACTCACGGCTACACCCTCAACCACCCTAAAACACCTTCTTTTACCACCCAAACGTCTTCTTATAGCCCCACAGTAGATCACCACCTCCAGCCAACCTTCCCTCTCGTCACAAGACTCAACTGAAACCAAAAAACGGAGGTAGCAGGAGGCTACCATCACAGCTTCGCCACCCCCTGCCATCCCGTCGCTCCATTGTCACCCTCCCCTTACCCACACAAAAAAAAAAAAACCCACCTCCACCACTACTGTGTACTACCTTGTGACACCCTCCATCCTTCCCTTTCTTCGTCTTCATTAAAACAGTAGCAGAAAACCAACAGCAGGAGGCTGCCGGCCTCCACCCATCATCACCGAACTACCATTCTGCTGCAAGCTACCTCCACCGGCCACCACTTGTTGCCATAGGTAACCTCCAAACATCCTTGAATTAACAAATTATGCACATCTACGTAGCTGGGAATCACGAGACCATTCATTTCATTTTTTTTTTTGTATTTACGTAAAGATGGTGAAAAACACAGGAGGTTCACCTCCTGTGTAAAAGATGAATATGGTGCAAATTAGGATACCAAATAAATACATGCAGTCCCTCTCTTTCGATTTTGCCCAAGTTTAGTCCCTCCCTATTTAGAATTATCTCAAATCTAGTTGTTAAACAATGAAAGTTTAATCAAAATATTTAAAACATACCCTAAACTGAACAAATCTTTTCAAAACAAATCAAACTTTAAATACAAAATTAAATGAATAATGTTTATACGTATATATTAGAAATTTTAAAGTTGATTTCAAATAAATTAATTTTGGTTATTTAAAAACTTGCGGAAAAATAATAAATTAAATTTTAAAATTTATTTAAAATAATTATAAATTTTAAATTGGCAAAAGTTAGGGAATTATTCAAGAAATTGTTATAATACTTAATCATGTCCAAATATTAATATATATCGAATTTCTAGGAAATCGAACTAATCCCGGAGATCACGACCTCACGGCAATACATTCTGGTCTTCAGAACTACTCGTTTACCACTCGATAAGGTGAGAGTTACGGCCCCTCTTTTTATATTTATTTGTTTTGGGGGAGAATACATGTGCTATATATTATTTATGATACAAATATATAAGTCTTATATGATATGCATGCTACAAATTTAAGTTATAAATACTTCCATCATGCATAAGACTTTACACACTTATACAAGATTGTTATGTTAAAATACATATCTCTATAAAAGCGAGTAATTTATACTTTTATAAATACATCAACCATACTCGACTTTACAAATACTATACTACGAGTTTCATTGTGCCCGGTACTTATCTATAATTAAGTTAGGACTGAGAGTTATTCACAAACTTTGCGTTAATGGTTTTTGAGTGAGACGCTACTATTCATTAGCTGGGTTTAATCACTTAGCCTGCCCCACACTGCTATAATCGTTAATCTTCGGAGCGAATTACATATATATAGATCTATATAGGGTTGACAACCCCACCTGCGGTTGCTAGCTACAACCATCGACTGATCAATCGAAGCAGGTGATATGTGTCTACGATCGTTACTACGATGTCCAATGAAGCATCGTAGGGAGGGGTGCCTTTCGTCTATAGCTCGATTATAGAACTCACTAAAAACGTTAACACGAATCTCTCTCACTTTTTCACTACAACCATATGTTTGGTTGCTTTTAGAACTGTTTTAAAGTACAGTGGTTACTTATACAATGGATATATTTAAACTTTCATGAAGTTATTACAAACACATTTTCTTTAAAAGCATAATTTTATTTATAAAATTACTTTTTTTAGCTTTTAAAGACTCATGACAAGCATTGTTTCAACTATCATTCTACAAGAAAAATATACTCTTGGACTTTTGAAAGTATTATTATTGCGGCTAGCAGAAAACCTATGACTCTCACCAACCTCGTGTTGACTTTCAAAATACATGTATTCTCAGGAAATCAGTGAAATTTCGGGCACACTCAGACGATGGAAAACATGGCTCGCAAGTACTTTAATTTTCTACTTTTGAACTGTTATGCCTCACTGTTAAGGCAAACTCGTATTATTATTTTATTACTATCTGTAAGAACCATGTATGAAAACATAAAAATGTAATGAAATGTTGTTTTGTTTATTGTTGTACTTGTGCTGTATATTCAATTTATCTGTGATCCATGAACTTAGTCGCACAGCCCGGCATGTTTCGCCGCCTCGGCCGGGGGTGTGACATAAATAGGCTCCAAACCCGGAGAATTAGGGTTTCATTAAACAGCGTGGACTCGCCGAGTCCACTCCTTGGACTCGCTGAGTCCAGACGTGAACCCTCGTCCAAAATCACGATCCTACTCGGCGAGTTTGAGCTCCAACTTGCCGAGTCTCCTCACAAAATACCAAAAATATAAGAATGAATAATACCTGAGAATCCGGGCTGTTACAATTCTCCCCCACTAGAACTAGACTTCGCCCTCGAAGTCTCGTTCTACAAATAACTCTGGATGCTGCTCGCGCATCTCACGCTCCGGCTCCCAAGTCATACCGAACCCCTTCCGATGCTACCACTGAACCAAAACTAAGGGTACCTCCTTATTCCTCAGAACCTTGATTTTCCAATCTTTGATTGTCACTCGTCTCTCAGCATAATTCAGGCTCGCATCCACCTGAATATCCTCTAATGGAACCACTGCCGACTCATCGGCTATACACTTCCGCAATTGCGACACATGGAAAGTGTCGTGAATCTGCCCCAACTCTGCTGGAAATTCCAAACGATAGGCTACCCTGCCTATCCTCGCGACCACCCGAAATCGACCAATATATCAGGGCCCCAACTTGCCCTTCTTCTTGAATCGAATCACTCCTTTCCAAGGAGAGACCTTCAGGAGCACAAAGTCACCGACCTGAAAAATCAAGCTCGGACTGGCGTCTGTCCGCATAACTCTTCTGACGAATCTGAGCGGTCAAAAACCTCTATCTGACCTGTTCGATCTGCTCTGTCGTCTGAAGTACGATCTCAGTACTGCCCATAACACGCTGTCCGACTTCTCCCCAGCAAATGGGGGTCCGGCACCTCCTCCTATACAACAGCTCAAAGGGTGGCATACCAATGCTCGAATGATGGTTGTTGTTGTGAGAAAACTCTGCCAAGGGCAAGTACGTATCCCAACTCCCCCCCCCCCCCGGAAATCCATCACACATGCCCGGAGCATGTCCTCGAGTGTCTGAATCGTCTGCTCACTCTATCCGTCTGTCTGGGGGTGATATGCGGTACTAAAATGCAGCCTAGTACCCAGCTCCTCATGAAACTTCTTCTAGAATTAGGAAGTGAAACGTACATCCCGGTCTGAGACAATCGAGATCGGCACCCCATGCTGAGATACCACTTCCCTCACGTACATCTCTGTTAACTTCTCTGCGGAGGAGCTCTCACTAATAGCAAGGAAGTGCGCGCTCTTCGTCAACCTGTCCACAATCACCCAAATTGCATCGACTCCCCTCGCGGTTCTCGATAATTTGGTGATAAAATCCATGGTAATTTGTTCCCACTTCCATTCGGGAACCTCCAACGGCTGCAACCTACCATGCAGTCTCTGGTGCTCAGCCTTAACCCTACGGCAGGTTAAGCACCTCTCAACAAACCACGCAACATCCCTCTTCATACAGGGCCACCAATAATCCCTCCTCATATCCAAATACATCTTAGTGGCCCCAGGATGGATCGAGAATTTCGACCGATGAGTCTCTTCCATCGAGAATTTCGGCTACCACATTAGCCTTGCCCGGATGGTACAGGATCTCACAATCATAATCCTTAACCACATCCGACCACCTCTTCTGCTGCATATTTAGGTTGGGTTGATCCATCAAATATTTCAGGCTCATATGGTTCGTGTATATCGTACACCGAACCCCATACAGATAGTGACGCCAAATCTTGAGGGCGAACACCACTGCCCCCAACTCTAGGTCATGCGTGGGATACCTCGTCTCATGTGGCTTCAGTTGCCTCGATGCGTATGCTATCACATGCCCTCTCTGCATCCGCACTGCTCCCATCCCCAAGATCGATGCATCACAGTATACCACAAAGTCCTCCATTCCCTCCGGGAGGGCTAACACCGGGGCCTCGCATAACCTTTGGCGAACCGTCTCAAAGGAGGCCTGCTACTCGGGGCCCCATGAAAAAGCGACACCCTTCCGGGTCAATCTGGTGAGTGGCACTACGATCTTAGAGAAATCCTTGATAAATCTCCGATAATAACCGGCCAACCCTAGAAAACTCTTGATCTCGGAGGGTGACCTCGGCACCTACCAACTCATCACCGCCTCAACTTTGGCCGGGTCGACCAATATCCCTTTCTGTTTAATGAGATGTCCCAGGAACTGGACCTCTCGCAACAAGAAATCACACTTGGAGAATTTGTCATAAAGCCTCTCCGATCTCAGAACTCCGAGGATCTCCCTCAAATGCTCCTCATGCTGCTCTCTAGATCTTGAATATACCAAGATGTCATTGATGAATACAATCACTGACCGATCTAGTATTGGCCTGCACACTCGGTTCATGAGATCGATGAACACTGCTGGGGCATTGGTGAGCCCGAAAGGCATCACCACAAACTCATAATGCACATAACGCGTCCTGAACGCTGTCTTTTGGATGTCCTCATCTCGCACCCTCACCTGATGGTATCCAGACCTCAAATCGATCATGGAGAATGAATATGCTCCCTGTAACTGATCGAACAAATCGTCGATCCTCGGCAACGGGTAACGGTTCTTGACCGTCAGCTTGTTCAACTCCCAATAATCAATGCACATCCGGTGTGAACCATCCTTCTTCTTGACAAAAAGGATAGGCGCTCCCCACGGCGAGCTGCTCGGCCGAATAAACCCCTTTCCCAACAACTCCTGAAGCTGCGAGGACAACTCTTGCATCTCTTAAGGTGCAAGGCGATAAGGCACCTTGGCAATAGGTGCAGCTCCCGGAACCAAATCGATACTGAACTCCCCTTGCCTCATGGGAGGCACACCCGACAACTCCTCTGGAAAGACATCTGGGAACTCATGCATTATCGGAAGCTCCTCCACTGACCTCAGCCTCTCGGAATCAACCCGCATATCCATCACGTATGCCACAAAACCCTTACAACCCTGCTGTAGACACTGCCTCACCCTAGCGGCTGAACGAAACGCTAATCCAGAACGGGTACCCTCGTCGTACACAGTAAGAACTCCCCCGATAGGGTATCATATGGTCACCAGCTGTCGCTTGCAGTCGATAACCGCACCGAATCTGCTCAACCAGTCCATGCCCACAATGACACAGACATCACCCATCACAATAGGAACCAAGTCAATCGGGAAATCAACACCGAAAATCTCGAATACGCACCCGCGGATCACCTCTGTAGCATATATCACCCTCTCTTCAGTTATGGAAACTCTCAGAGGCCGACTCAATGCCTCGCGACTAACACTAATATGCTGACTAAAAGCCAAAGATACAAAAGACCGACTCGTACCCAAGTCAAATAACACCAAGGCAGGTATAGAATTCACAAGAAAAGTACCTACGCATAACATAATATAAGCATAATATCTCGATCATCAAAATAAATACATGAAAGAATACATACCAACCACGACATCGGGCGCTGCGCGGACCTCCTCCGCGGTCAACTGAAAGGCTCTTCCTCGTGCCCTCGGCGCCTCAGCCTTCACTTGATGACTCTCGATAACTCTGATGGCGGCAGGGGCAGATCCCTGAGGTGCTCCCTGAGCTGATCCCCGCAACTGCGGACACTCCGCCTTCCGGTGTCCGATTTGGTTGCAGTGAAAACATACTGCAAACCCCTTGGGGAAGTCCTTGGCTATATGCCCCTCCTTGCCACATTTGTAGCAAGATCCAGCTCTACATACTCCATCATGACCCTTGCCGCACTTTCCACAAGTGCGGCCCTTCTGGCTCCCAGATTTGGGATCAGCGGGCTTGGCCCGCTTAGCTGTCAGATGGGACTATGCCGATCGTCGATCTCTCCCTTGAAACTTCGCCTCCTCCCTGGCCTGAGTCTCTAGCTCAATCTCCCTCTTCCAGGCATTTCCTTGAAGCTCGGAAAATGTCCGGTACGAGGAGTTCGCCACGAACTCCCGAATGTCTTGCCTCAAGATACTCAAATATCGGCTTATGCGTGCCTGCTCAGTAGACACGTGCTCAGGGTAGAACATCGCCCTTTCTAGGAACATCCTGGTAATCACAGTAACAGACTCAGTACCCTGCTTGAGGGTCAGAAACTCCTGGGCCAAACGCTCCCTCTCCACCTGAGGAACGTACTCATCTCGGAACATGGCAGTAAGCCTCTCCCAAGTCACTGCCGCAAGCTCAGCAGGCGAAAAGTGCGGTGTCTCAAACTTCCACCAGTCCTTTGCTCCCAAGCGAAGCTGGCTCAGCACGAACCGAACTCTCAAACTCTCCCTCGCCACCGGGTCTTGGGTCCCGTCAAACTCTGGCGGTTTCATGTTGCTGAACTCTCGGAACAACAACGCATCACCACCCTGCGGCCTTGCAGCAGCAACAGCTGCAATGGCTGCCGCAACAGCAGCCTCAGAAAGAGTAGCATATCGCTCGTCAAAAGTCTCAATAAGCGTGGTTTTAATAGACCTGAACATCTCTGGTATCTCTGCCCTGATGGCCGCAGCCACCTCCTCGTGGATGATCCGGCGGATCTCCTCATAACTAGCCCCACTGCACTCTGGCATAAGACGTGTCCTCACCATGATCTACCTATGAAATACAATATACGATAAATTAGAATCCATTCGAGCATACTCACACTCAACAACTCTTCCCTCGGATCCTCTCTTGGCACGTCGAGTACTTCCCTAACTCGATGAGTTCCACCTGGCATGAATCGCGGGGCAACCACGACTCAACTCGCCGAGTCTCAAGAACAACTCGGTGAGTTCCGGCTTGACTCAACCCCATATTGACTCTCCCTGACTCACTGGGTCATCCCCCAACCCGGCGAGTCCACTCGCTGAACACTTTACGTGAAACCCTAACCCTCCTCTCCGAGTCCCAAGAACAACTCGGCAAGTTCATGCCATGCACAAACTTTATTGACCTTCTGAGGTCAGATCTGCTTTCCCAAACCATAGATCTGGTCTTCCCAAGCATGAATGTCACGTAAAGTTCGAAACTTGATGCT